AGCCCTTACCTTTACACATACTTATATATATATATGTGTGTGTGCGTGTTTGTGTTATATGATATTTTATTTTCTATTGATAACCATAATATATAAATTTTTCTATAGCACTGAATAATATAATGGTAATGGAAATATATTTCCTTCCTAAAAAAATCAGTAAAACCGTTCATTGTACCGTTCAGTTTCGACGTCCTTATCGTATACTTATGGCTTGTAAAATCATACCGGACTGATTTAGATACTCTACGATCATTTGTCTACCAAAAATCATCAATTATCTCACATCCTAGATAATACAATTTATTTGTTTGCCTTTAGTTTTGATTTCACAGTGGTTTATATGGTTGACAAATTTGCGTAGACAATTATTTTGAAAGTCATAATGGTAACATTGTCATTTGTTTAAATGTGTTTTATTATGATTTAGTGAATAACTTATTCAAAAACTAGTGTGACTGAAAAATAAGAAATTTAAATTGATATAGCTAAATATTGTACAATATTGATGAATAAATACATACATTTCGTGTTTAGAAATTATAACATGCTAAATAGCTATTAAAAATTTAATAAATAAAATAATGTATAATGTATATGCATATATAATTTTATAATTCACTAATTGAATGTGACATTTTTTAAAACGTGCAATTTTTTTATAATTCGAGTTATACATTTAGATTTATAATAAAAGTCTGGAATATTTCTATTTTTTACATATTATAATTTAAATTCAATGATTAATGCAAACATTTAACCTCAAAAGATTGAACTTATGTTATAACGTACTATTTCCTTTTATTCTCATAATCCAAAATGTTCTATTACCATTATTTACTTCAAAATATTTAATTACTAATGTTCATTCATGTTTTTGTTTTACAATAAATGTTTACCAATTTGTTGAAATTTTCTATTTTCTATTTCTCTATTTATTACTATTTATTTATAATGTTTTATAACTGATACAGACATTTTTTAATGCTTAAGTTAATTAGGTGATTAAAAATGTTAAATTTTATTTCAAAGACTATAGTTATTACTATTATATTAGCCTTGGTTAAAATATTATAAAAATAATAAAATATTTAAGGCAACACTAATGAGCAATAACAGAAATTTGTTTTGATTTTGTTACGTAAATCCTCATATATATCTACTATAAGCTATAAGTTCCTTGTTAATTTATTTTTTTAATTTTTTATGAAATTCACTGTTACTAAAAATATAAAATACATTATTTGAAAATGTAATGATTATTTTCTCAAATAGATACATAGAAATAAAATAATTTTAAGAATAAATCCTTAAATATTTATTATAGAATAATTACTTGAATATTTTTCATGATCCATGCGGTTAATGAATTACCTATAATTTACAACTTATGCAAACAAGCTCATAAAATAAAGTATCAAATTAAATTTTATTTAAATTTGAAAAATAATTCAATCAATAATTTAATCATTACTATTAGAGCTTTAAATTATCGTATGATTTTTTTTCATAAATAATTAGTTTAATGAATAAACATTACATTTCAAAATTCCAATGTAATCCAAGTCACGCAACAAATGTTAATTATAATACACTCCTGGAATAATATGTAAATTAAAATATTACAATGGCTCCAAATAATGATGACATATATGCTTTTTGTTAAAAATTTATCACATTCTCTAACTAGACTTTACCAATTTAGAGTTGTAGGGAGAGTTCTTCAGTTTCTATTTGAACATTTCTAAATATTCAGTATTTTTCTTTCACCGTACCCACTCTCGAATTTATTTTCCTTACGTCAAAAATAATATCCCCATTAAACCGGCAGGTGACTCCACTTGTAACATAGATTTTTTCTTCACCTGTGACCTACCCCAAGCCAAGCACATGGAGGGAATTTGTTGTTAAGCAATTAAGACTCTTGGCTTTGTCCTTCGTATTTCTGCTAAGTTTCAACTAATATCTTTCCTCAAAGCCCTGCTATGGTTCGTCCTGTGCTCAAATACGGCTGTGTTTTTTGGAACCCCTCCACGGTTTTGTCAGTACTTCAGGCGAGCATGTTCAAAGACAATTATTCTGCATTGCAGTGTTTAGACTTAATATTACCCCACTCTCCTTATATTTACACACCTGTTCTATAAGCCATAAATCTTTTTTCACTTGCTGACTGGCGGCTTGTGGCCAATTTATTTTTCATTTCTAATCTACCTTCTGCAAAAATTGATTCTTCTTCTCTCTTATCCCAAATCAATTTCAGAGTTCCTTCCCGCACCACTCGTTGTTCTGTCCCTTTCTACATTCCTCTCTCTTTTAATTTTTCTTATATTACATATCGCCAACAGAAAATCATCTAGGTAGCAAAATATTTCTTATCAAATTTCGGGCTACCTATAATTCATCAACATTTCAGATATTGGATAATATAATGACAATTAAAGTAAATTATTTGATTTGTAGGTGTCTTATATATTGTAATAAGTTTCTAATTATAAAAATATAATATTCAAATTTTCTATTTTTAAAATAAAAACAGTTTATGACATAATAATTATTCTTAAAACTAGAATTTAAAATCATATACACAAATAAGTTTCACTGTGTTGCCAGCATACACGTAATGCATTGAAACATTAATGTTCATCTGATCTAAGACGAATGTTTTGTTTCATTTAATTTTTTTACGTGCACCAATATTTTTCATTTATCTAAGTAGATTTTTTGGTATTTTCTAAGTTAAGTTTTTGAATTTTTTATGTCATTTTAGCATATTTGTATTTTTTAGGTCATCGATATCCTAATTCTTATTGTATATACAATTTACAATGTATTGTATGCACACACACATACATATATTAATTCAGTACTAAGTTCAGTAAATTTAAAAGTTGATATTTTAAAAATAAAACCTATAAGTAAGATCTTATAAATTACACATTATTGTTATATATAAACTATATACATTTATTTTTCATAAATATGGTCACTTGAAACTTTTTATTAGTTTTTATTCGAGTGTTTTGAATACAGATGAGGCTTTTTTTGCATATTTTACATTTAACATTACTCTTATTCATATATCTACTAAATCAAAATATATAAAAAGCTATGGATATGTAAATTCGTTATACAGTTGGGTAAATCAAATTTTTTCAACAAAACTTAGCGGCTTGTGAAATGTTTTTAAAAGTTTCAATTTTCGTAGTTCATTATATCCTACCAACTGAATAAATTACATGTGTATACATGTCATTAATTTATTTAATTTACCGTATAAAATTATGGCAGCTATATTGTATAATGTTATTAAAATATAAAATTTTTACGAAATATTGTTTATTAGTGATGTTAAAATTATCATTTACATTTTAAACACAATTTAAAAATTTACTAAAGTAAAGTATCTATTATTAGATAAATTATAAATGTATAATCTTTTCTATAAATTATAACAGCCAAATAAAAAAAAACTTATTTTAGTGACAGGAATACTTAAAATAATGGAAATAAATTAGTTCTTAAAATAAACAAAAGTAATTTTTGAATAATATTCATACAGTTTTTTTGAATAAATTTATATAACAGTTTCCCATAAGTAAATTAACTATAAAATTTAAAATTAAAATGAATTCATTTATAAATATAAATCTTATGATTTATATATATAACTATTTTTTTTACGTTGTGATTATGTATAATTTAATTTTTGATGCCCTTTATACTTTGATTATTATTAATAAATAGGTTCTTGTTACGCATGTTGTCGATGGTTCATAGGAAGTAATGATAGTTTATAATATATAGTAGTGAGGTTCGTTTTTTCAAAACTACTACAATGTTCCACAACTCAAGAAACTCAAAGCTATTAACAGTAGACCAATTTAATTTAGGAAATAATTATAATAATTTTTTTTTTTTTATACTTTATTATAATTTTTTTTCGATTCAACAAAAAACAAAACTGCAAAAACTTTCATTAAACTATATTATACGCTATTGCTTGTCAATAACTTACTCTCCTTGTATAACGCCAAACTTATTATTATTTTTTTTACAGTACAGTAAAATTATTTAAAATTATTTTTAATAAATATTGAGAATAATATATATACATATATATCAGTTATTTGTTTTTGTTGTTAAACTAACTTTAGACGGCTGATAAGGATATCATATTAAAATTTATAAGTATTAAGTTCCAATAACTGTAATGGTAAAAATGCACTATAAAAATATAAAATAAAAAATAAGTTTATTGTTCTACAAGCCGTTATTTAATGAAGCATTTCATGAATTACTTGTTTTTAATTTAATCATTTAAAATAGTTATACAAAAAGCAAATTAGCCATCAATAAATCAAATTTATTTATGTATTTAAATTTAATTTAATTAATTAAAAAAAATACGATGAAACTTGTTTAATTAATAATTCACATAATCTATATATCTGCAAAAAAGAAAAATAATAACAATATGATTAAAATCTTTACATGAAATTCAAATAAAGTTACATAATTTGAAGCCTTATATATTTAACTTACATTATCCAATAAATATAGCCTAAAGGTTCAATGAAATATGAAAAATAAATTGTATTAAATTTATAGAATATGAGAATAGAGTTGAATCCAATATTTGATGTTATTCATTATAAAGAATCAAAATAATCCGAACTTTAAGAATGAAGTATGATACAATCAATAAATGGCTGATCATAAAATAAATATATATTAAATATTATGATATACTGATTAAATATTATTTGACTATCAATTTATGAAAAAAGCTATATTTTAACATTAATATAATTTAGTTAAGTTTCAATTGGCCTTTCTAACTTATGCTAAACTTAGTTTAATTTTTTGAGACTAGAATCGTAATTTATATTTACATGGTAACAAATAATATGTGGAATTCATAATATATAATTATACCTATTTTGTAAGTGCATAATCTATAACATATAAATAATATTTTTATTTTTTTTGTCTGCAAACAGAGGAATTGTTCGAACTGGAATCAAAAACTCCCCCAACCTTAGCAAGTTAAAAACAATTAATCATCTTCGTATGGTGTAAGTATTTTTTTTTTTTTAATTTTGACTTATTTCTTAGACTTTATTATATGACGGAACATTGATATATTTCATTCGTTCACATTTCCAAATAAATTTGATCATTTAAAATGTATTAAAATAATAATGTGCGTTGCTCAGAAGGTACACAATAAAATTAATCGACAATAACTTAACATGTCAGCATAATATTTATTTTATAATATTAAATATCGCTGTTGGGTATTTGCAGAGACTTGGAAAGCAATCACATCGAGATTTTGATCCCAGGAGAACTGAAAATCAGTGCAGAACAACTGTGAGTAAAATTAATTACATTTTTATAAGTCCCTCAAAATACCCATATTATTGTAAATAAATCTTTTAATGACGGTGCTTATTCATAATGTAAGCTCACGACAGTTTGTATTTTAACTTAACTGACAGGTAACAGTAATACAATATGAATAATTTTGATTATTAGTTCGTATTTGACGAAATGCATGATTCATTAGTAATAAAAAAAATCTCGAAACTTCTACGTTGGGTAAGATTGGTGAATGATATTACTATACTGGTTTTTTAAACTTAAAAAAATGTACCATTTTTCACCAAAATAAAAATCCGGATTAAAACAGGTTAAGTAGATCAGTTTATATTCCTAAAAATGGTTCATACTCCTATATTAATATAATTAAAATTCTTAATCCGAAAGGATGCATTTTTAACGGCGGTCATCAAAACCGTACACTTACCGTTCATAACCGCACATTTTACATCGTTCAATACCACACATATTTATTCTATTGTTAAAAAGGGAAATTTGAAAAGTTGATAGTTCAAAACAGCACACATTTGGTTAACAGTTCCTTTCTCTCTGCACACTTTGCATGTACAGCTCACGTAGCCGGTTTCGTATAAGTCCCACACAAAATCTTTTTTTTTTTATTCTGTGACTTACTTGGGGTGATGTTACATAGCAAATCGGGAGATATTTTCGTTTTTAACTGTCCGAGCGAGCGAGTGACCCCGCTTGGTCTTGAGGTGCACTCATGTTATTTTAGATACATGTATACGTAATTGATATATATATATAAATTTGTGCGGTATTGAACGGTTTAATTTGGTGAAAATATGTGGGATTAAGATATAAAAGTGTGCGGTTTTGAACAACTACCTGTTTTTGAAAGTATGCAGTTATGAACGACGCCCATTTTGCTCATATGTTATAATTTTCGTCTTATAAAAAAATGTATCTAAAATTGGAAAAATCTAGTGTTAATAAACATCACCTATTTTTTTAAAATATTTTAAAACTATAAAATGTCTTTAGAATGCTAATATAAGTATTTATTAAATGCATTGGGTCGCGACGAATAATGTTTATACTATTAATATTGTTTAATTTTAATCGAAATACGCCGAAATATCTGAATTTGTCTAATTTTTATTTTATAACGTTTATAAAGGGTCATATACCCACCTAGGCCCTTCAAAAATTTTATGTTTGGCTCTCAACCTAAAATTGTTCAGTAACACTATTGTGTTACTACTAACGAATAGTTTGATTTGGTTGAAAACCAGGAATTCGAAAATTCGATTTGCCATAAATTTTGCATTTTTTTTTATAACTTTTTGTCAATTTTTGCTGTACCTAATTAAAAAATTGATTGAGAACTCATGAAATAACTCTTACCAAAGTACAAACTACATAATATTTTCTATCAAAAACTCTAATGATTTTCGTTAATAGAACATTTATCCTGGTCATAGTCGTCAACATAGACACAAAAATATTTAAAATAGTATGTGATAAAACAATTAGCAGTGTAGGATTGGCTCTCGATCTCTATTTAAGGTTTCTGTAATTTTTTCTCTGTTTTTTTCAATGATTTTGTAAACTATTGAAAATTTCAATAAAATGATTTTCATCAGTCCTAAATAGAATTTATTTCTTTTTTTATGATGATCTGAATAATCCTGATCAATGTATTAAAAAAAATAAACACACTTCAAAACAGTTATCAGACATATATTAGCTGATGTAATAATAATAGCTAAGGAAAAATTGAATGTATATTTAAAATAACAGTTACGTGATTTGAATTATATTGCATAATTCAAAATCAAACTGTTTACTTATATGAGTATAAGTTTTTTTGAGAGTGTAGGTACGTTATTAAATCTTTTTTGAGGAGATAAGGTCCAAATATTTGTTTGCAAATATATAAGTCTCGTTACTATTAATACTATAGCTATTAGTTTGTATTTTAATTTTGGAGTTTAAAAGTAATACAATACACTCAGTTTTTGTCGGAATTTATGAGACAACGCAATGCTATTAGATTGCGTGTTTATAATGTGAGCAAACTGAAGTTTTTTTCAGATAACAAAAGTCCAATGTTATAATTGCAACATGATTAATCAAAATGTCGTGTAACGAGTTTGTTTCGAATATATATTTACTTTATATGTTTCAAACAATTATAAGCATTTTATATATATAACATTTTTTCATTTATATTTAGCTCCTGGAGATTATGAAAAATAAATAAATGATCAAAAACATAAATAAAAATAATATATGGATCATACATTAGAGCAAAATACCTATAATTGATACATTATGTAGAACTCGGAAATATTTAATGCATTTAGTATAGGTTAGTGATGGGAATGAAAATCGGGATTCTTCGTAAATTTGCCGAATCCGGATTTCGGATTTCGGATTTTAGGCTAGAAAATCCGGATTTCGAATTTAAAAACCCAAGTTTTGGATTTATTATTGCAAATTTCTGTATTCTAATCATACTCGTTATAACATTCATTACACCACATTTTAGTCTTTATTTTAATTCTCGAACAAGATGATGGTGGTCTAAATAAGATACCTTAATATTTAGTAAACACTTCAAGTCTTACGTTTCATTATTTTTAGAAATAACAAATAATAATAACTAAAATTTCTTAATTAGGTTAGATCAAAATATTATTAATTTTGAGAATGTTTAATTATTTTGTATTTACTATATATAATTCTTGAATAATCTCAATGTTTTTAAATCCGAAATCCAGGTTTTCAGTAAAATTCGGATTTCGGATTTCAAACTTCAAAAATCCGGATTTTTCTCATCACTAGTATAAATATGTATATTTTTACTAAAATAATGTGGGAAAGTGGTAATGATATATTATGTTTATAAAAACTCTATAAAATACAAATATAACAATCGAAAAAAAAAAAAAATTATGAGAAGTTTGACGATCCAGCCGGTGGTAATATACGAGTATATCAAACCTATTATTTCAAACCTATTATAATAGGTTTGAAAATAGTACAATAATTGTATTGTTATTAATTATAACTGTTATTCACAGAAATAATTATTATTTATGTGAATAACAGTTATAGATCAAATTCAGTTTACTTAGAATTATGTTCAATGTTTTTGTTAGTTTGGAAAATGTAATTGCTTATAGTATCGGCTTGAACAAAGTTTTTCTTAACTTAGTACGATTTTTTTAAAGTGCCAAAGGGCACTTCTTACAGACATGATATTAAAAGCGGATTGACGAAAAGTTTTTTATAAACAATATGTGTAGGGTAAACAAGACCCTTGGCTCCCTTAGAATTTTGTTTAACGCATTTCAAACACAAATTTAATATAGTTCTATCCTTCTTGATTATTTATTTCTCATTATGTTCAAACACTATTTTAAAAAAAAATCTTTCAATAAACAATTTTTGAACATTATGGGCATATCGTTGAGGTACATAACATTTATGCGGCTTCTTGATCTGTAACTGAAAACGATTCCAGCTTTCACGGGATCCTAACACGATTTATGATAAAATGTGTTATCGCCAAACCCGTAGACGGTTATGCGATTGTCATCCGAAGTCGGTCTCTCTTTCGTCTCCATAAAGCAGACTTATATTCTGTAGATGGCTACATAAAGGAGGGATATCGGTCATCCGTCACGGGTAGACTTCGACTTGGTCCAACACTGCCAGTTTGACCAGCATGTCAACCCACCAATATCAAATGTCCACAGTGAACGTCAACTGTCATATTGTTAACACATTGTTTCGTCTCATAGAAATTGAAGATATTGTAACCATAGGCTTCCATTAATCCTTGTACAAGTTCAGAGGCTCCTTCCATATCGTAGAAACTACCAATCTTCACAATAGGATAGTATACTTGTACATCGTTTAAAATTGAATGTACTACTCGACTCGATTGTAACTGGTATATGTCACGTATACTCGTATCTAACACTGTCCTTGCCGTATCTCATGGGTTTATTATTATGAGCTCGCAAGCCATTGATCCACAGATTGTAAAAATAAATTGACTTATGTTTTTTAATATTGTTTGCGCGTCGTTTATGCGAATACTTCAGCGTAGTATAATATTTTGTTTCCTGTAAAAAGCGTTAACTCTAGCTACATTACATTACATTGAGAATAATTACAATTGGTAATATGATAAATACGATTCGCTAAAGCAAGAATTCGATAACTGTCAACTGTTGTTTTGGTATTTTTTTTTATTTAATTTCCACTCATGCATGTAGTTTTTGTTTCAAGATTAGTTTCGGTGTAACTGAAATAATTTCTTATTGATTATAAACATTTAAGCAGATTGTATACGATTGAGTTTATTAATACCGTTAAATACAAGTGTCACTGATACAGTTCTTATATTTTCCGTACATTATAAATTACACGATTTTATTCACGTACGAAATGTTTATATTTCAATACTAACAACAGAATATTACGTTTAACGGAGTATTACATTTACAAATCATGCGCATGCATTTTGTACTAAATCAATTTAAATAATTAGGAAAATAATAATGCACCATAATTGCATATAAAACCGGACACTTTAAGTGGACTAATTAACTATTTAGCATGCACGTGCAGTAATATTATCTGTGCCGAACAAACCTCAAAACATCATGTATTATGTATATAGGTATGGACAAATATAATATTATTAATGCATTCTTAAATGTTTAAGTCCCAAGGTTGAATTGAGATTCATATTATAATGATTTGCGCGAGGATTGAATAACTTGATACATATTTGATATAACTATATATTTGAACGTCTTTATAAAATAACGCCTAATTCCGTGAAAAAACTAGTTTCTTTATAATCCAGTAGTTATTTCGCATCGATTTTGGACTTGTTTATATATAACTGAAATAACAATTCCAAAGTCTACAGTTTATTAGCGTCCTTCGGTGGGGCTATACAATATCAAAGATGGCATTAAGTCATGCATGAATTGATTTCTCTTAGT